AAAAAAAGCTCCATGTGCGAATGAGTAAACGAGAAAAACTCTCATGAACCGAATTTCCATCTGCAAATCTTATTGTATTATGAATCATAACAAAATCGAACTATTAATGGAGCGGATGGTAAATGGTTATGATAAGTGGATCACTTGCAGCAACATCAAATGAAAGCGGCCGTGATCGAAGGATAGTGCGCCAAGTCAAGATTGGCGACAAAAAATGTTTTGTTGTATATTTCGTAGGATTTTCAAGGAACCATTCACTATGAACTGTTCCCCTACAGCCACACTCTTAATTCGAACCTGTACTGTCGGCAATTGTATCGTCTGAGAGAAGCAATCGCACACAAGCGCACAGCATTGATCAAGTGGAGTGTGAATTGTGTTTCAGCCGGATAACGCCAGACCATACACATCGATAGTAATCCAACAGAAGCTTATATTCCAAACTTCGCACCAACTGGTTACCGTCTGTTCCTGCCCCCAAGAGATTCGTGAAAAAATGGACTGTCCCATTATTTTGCTCAAGGCAAGGGACAAGGGTTTCTATTAGAGTTGCATAATGGCACCTTACCTTACTGACGAATGACAAATTGTTATCATGCAAAATGTTTCGTATTCAAAGGTACTGTCATTTCGCGTCATTTTCAGTAGATATCATTTGTTTTAGCGTGAACAACAATTTGTTTCATTCATTTGAAAATGTCGAAATTTTTACCAAATGAAGTGTTTTTGCGAGGAGTTCTTCTTCATTACTTTAACATGAAGAAAAGTCCTATCGAAAGCCATCGTATTTTACTGAACGTTGGACGGTAACCATGCTTTAGTCGTACGAACGTGCCAAAAGTGATTTGCACGATTTAAAAGTGGCAACTTTGACTTAAATGACGGTCAGCCAAAAAAATTTCAAGACGAAGAATTGGAGACATTGTTCGCCCAGATGCATGCCAGACGCAAGAATAACTTACAAAACTATTAGGGGTTGATCAAGTAACCGTTTCCAGACGATTAAAATCATTAGGATTCATCCAGAAGCTTGGAAATTGAGCGCCTTATGAAATAAAGTCAAGAGACGTCGATCGTCGATTCTGCATGTCAGATATGTTGCTTCAACGCCACCAAAAGAAGTCATTTTTGCATCGGATTCATTATGATAACCCAAAGCGCAAGAGATCGTATGCGAAGCCCGGCCAACCATCGACATCCATGGCAAAGCCGAAGAAAGAATGGTGCCAAGGTTGTGCTATGTATTGGGTGGGACCACAAGGGTGTGCTCTATTATGAGCTATTGAAATCGGGTCAGACGATCAATGAGGACCTCTACCGAAAACAATTGATCGTTTGAAACACGATCAGAATATGCGACCAGACACGAATCAATAATTTTTCATCATGACAACGCTCGGCCACATGTTGCAAGGCTAGTTAAAAACTATTTGGAAAACTGTGGGTGGGAGGTTCTACCTCACACGCCTTATAGCCCAGACATAGCACTTTCCGAATACCACATGTTCACATCATTACAGAATGCCCTCACCCGAGTACTCTTCACTTCAGAACAGGGTATCAGAAATTGACACGATTCTTTCTCGACCTTCAAGCTGAAGAAGTTCTTTTGGCATGGGATCCACAAACTGCCAGAAAGATGGGCAAACATCGTAGCTTCCGATGGGCAATACTTTGAACATTAAATGTATAAAAATTTTTTCACAATGAATAATAAATAAAGATCGATCTGTTGTAATTATTTCATAAATAAGCAACGAAATTGTTCTAACAACCCCGACATATTTTGTTACGTGTGTGGGTAATTAACTTTTAAATCTTAGCGCCTCAATTTCATATCATTAATTGAAGATTGTAATTTAAATTATTTTGGATTCCCTGTGAAGAATCAAAAAAGTCTTGCTTTTCATACAAATGTTGTGTATCTTCTATTAGGGGCTTGGACTAAACAACAACCTAGAAATTTTGCATTTGCTATACCAATAATTTGGATGTAACCAAAGGTCCACGACCGCAATCGACAAACATCCGAATTAATTTTTCGTATTAAGGACGCCTCTCAGCAGCGAAAAAGAATCATTCGTCCGCTCGGTGACGGTTCAGAATAAACTGTAGGTACCTCCATTTGTAGGAAAAAATTTTGAGACACAAATTGGAGAAGGTACTCGACCGAAAACCGCTTCAGCAGTTACAAACCGCCAATTTACATGTAGGCGAATAGCCATACGATTATTTAATTTCTTTTATTTCATAACTTTCCTTTATTATAAATTATAACTTAAGGAATATGTATGTATGTATACACTCGCATGTGTTTGTATTAAAAGTTGTGCCTTGTCGCTCATACGACCTGTCAACCAGTTGGACATATGTCAAAGCTATCCAATAACACACTTGTTCTTAAAAATCATTAATTCTGAAGTGTTGGTACTTTAAAATGTCAAACATTTGACATGGGAAAAGAGTTCAAGTTTTTCGTGTGCATAAATCATCTTCAATTACTAATGAGCTGTCATTGTTTGGAATTATTATTGTTTTAAGTCGCCACTAATATGTTCAATGATAGAAATGAAAAGTATTAATGTTTATATTAATCACATCATCACATCATTAAAAATAAAATGAATAAAATTATTCGTACTTGCTGGTTTGTTGGTTGAAAGTCTAGAGCTTGGAGTAACGTAAAAGGTATGACATGTCAATCCGGTAAAGGTCGGACGCTCCCAAAGGTAGTGCTCGCGTGTTTCATCTGGAAAAGAATCCAAGTCATGTGTCTGCTTCGCATTTAGAACTGTCAGTATCGATATAAGTATCTTTTCAACTATTTTAAGTTCAAGTCTCTCGGTAGCACATAACGGTAGATGGCTAAATAGAGTCTTTTGGAAAATATTTTTTCACATTTCGGACTTTTTCGTCGACCTGTTGAACTGAATATGAACAAAGATTCTTACGTTCATTCTGGTGGATTAAAGAAAAGTTTGTAAGAGCTTTCTTTATCTTTGCCCAAGCTTAAGTGCACAAAAGTGCTTTAAATTATTTGATGGTTCGAAAAATCGATTTTTTATGCAAAATATGAAAGTCATATACTTGTAGAGTATATGTTTCAAAGGATTTTGCAATACGATGAATATTTATCAAATGGCAGCTCCTCGACCAAACCTGGCACACGCCCGCGCGCAGGCAAGGCAAACTTTCAAAAAACTTTGAACGCGTTTTTCTCGAAACCATGTTTTCCGATATAATTTCGGGCCCCGGGCTTGATCTACTCGTATCCGGCCGATTTCTTTTAACTATTGTAGAAACTGTTTCAAAGTATATTGTTTTTTGTACGTCTTGAACATAAGGTTAGCATTAATAATTGATTACTTATATTTTTTTAACGAAATTAATGAAAAGATTGCATTATGCAATAAACTTATCGTTAAAATTGTTTCAATTGAGGTTCGGGACGTAGAAAATTTCATGATTTTTAAGTAATAATTTCACTCGTTTCACCTCTGTAGGCTTAAAGTTGTTGGATCATGCTTTTTGGGCAGAGGCCGACGGAAAGCGCCGTTTTGTAGCCGTCAATCTCGACTATTTTTTTTTTCGATTTAAAATCTCAAATAATAAACAAATTTAATATTTAAAACCGGAAGTTCGTACGCCTTTTCATGCTCCCACAAAAAAAAAATACAAACTTTGCCTGATTTTTGCCCAATATCAGGGGAGGGTCCCGCTAAGCATTTGGAAAGTAAAGTCTTCTCAGAAAGCAAGCACAAAACTCAACAAATCGCACATAATGCTTGTCCTACTGTACACGTGTGGGCCTGAAATATGGGCGTTCGGATGAGATAGATGAATTCCGTCAGTGTTTCCAGCATCTTGATCTCAGAAATCATTCCTACTCTTACAAAATGCTTGCATCTTTATAGACCCATATGTACAGTTGCAATATAGGATTATCAATTATGTGGGTTCAAAAGTGCAGCGCTATATTTTTACGTTTGTCAAACTTAACTGTCGCCTCCAAGCGACTGATGATTTTTTTTATGAAGAGTCTTTATTTCGTGTCAAAAATACGTTCAGAGTGCTTGACATTCCCTGTCGAGAGGCCACCGCAACTTAACTGAATTTTTTATTTAAATAAATTTTCTATAACTTTTGGATGGTGGTCATACCAGGAATCGAACCCTATCGCAGTCGTCATTTGTTAACTCTTATTATCAAACGTGGCCACCTTTCGTGCTTTAAAGGGAGTTTATGGTGCGCTTAATCGTCTAACTACTCACGCAATTGGAAAAACTTTAAAGAATTTTGAGGAGGCTGTGCATCATGGTTTTACTCGTTTCACCTCAAATTTCGCTACCGTAAGGGAAAGTTTAGCCGAAGACCGGAATGCGTACATTTCTCTAAGGTCTTATGAGTGGTGTATTTTGTACTTGGAATTACATCTACATCAATGAAGAGTCCAGATGACACAAAAACTGAAGCCAACCGACCATTCACAACGCCATACATACATCGATTGTGTGGTTGACCAACCAGCAACCAGCAAAATTTAGCAACGAAGCACATTTCTCACACGAGGGCTACGTAAATGCAAGAAACTGTTCCATTTGCAGCTCTGAGAGCCCGCTTTACATAAAAAAAAACTCACTGTCTGGTGCGCTCTTTGCTCCGAAGGTGTGATTCGTCCTTTTTTCTTTTTGAAAATGACAACGATGAGACTGTAATTGAAGAACACGACTTGAACAATCAGTGATTTCAAGAAGATGGTACCACAGTCACACAGGACGAGCGAATATGTTTTTATTGCGAGAGAATTTTCCCGGTCGCATAATCTCTCGTTTTGGCGATCGAAGTTTGCTAAAATTGAAATGAAAATTATGTAGTTTTCAAAATTTATAATCAATAAAATGTCATAAAAAATTATTTCAAATACATTTTTAATAAGTTTATTTTCAAAACCACAAAATACATAATCCTATATCATTAATTGTCAAATTGAACGCTTCGTCTACACTGCGAAACACAGCTTTATCGCATTGAAGTCAGAAAAGTAAAATACGAGCCGGCACCCTGTAAAATCTATTAAAATATAATCGTTAAAGTGATGAATATAAAAGGCAAAATCCCAACTACCCACCTTTAGTACAGCAGTCAAGGAGACGCTAAAATAATTGAAGCCGGTTAAAACAAATGGTTTCCCACTAGTGCTAATGGCCAAAGCTAGTGTTTTCAAAAGGCGTACATTAGCTTTCGTATCCGTGGACTTCATTAAAACCAACTCCCAATTGCACTCATAAAAAGTCGAGCTTACTTCATTAGTCTGTCGGAAATAAGGGGCGAGAAACAGAGCGAGAGAGAGAGCAAAAATAAAATATTCCTTTTCATTAAATCACTTTCATATTTACGGTATAAATCATTGTGGAGCCCAATTGACCAACCAATATCATTTCCATAATTTTGGCACAGATCCAAAACATGAAGCCATAACTAGCCATCGGATTCTAAAGTCAAGCAAAAATTTTTTACACTCTTTTAGTCTCTCTCTTTCTCCACTACTCACCGTATACACTTTGAAACACAGCACACACAATAGCCCCGCACTAAAGGATAAATTGACGAAAATGCGAAAAGAGAATTCGCGCTCAAATCCCTTAGCAAATTCATATAAACGCACATTTTCCTCGATGGCCTCAATTATCTGGTCTTGCAATGCATCGGCAATATACCTGCCATCGGTATTGTGTAGCAGACGGTCCGCATTTTGGCGCAGTTTCTGTTGTAACAGCAGGAAACGTCCATTCAAATGTAGCATGACCTCGGACAGTATATTATCCTCGCCAGCGACCAGTGAGATTACGGTGAAACCCACCCAGATGTTGGAGAGCACCACAGCCACATAGATGGGATTGGGTGTAATATCGAAGGGATAGTACATTTTAAAGAGTGGCGCTTTTACATTTTTTAAGTAATTTGTTAACGGTGTTATAACATAGGAAAATAGAGTGCTATAATATAAAAAGGAATAAAACCAAATCGGACGTAAACGTTTCTGTATATTTGCATAGAGTTTGGGATGAGTTGGTCTGCAAAAGAATTTACAACTCCAGCTTTATGTGTTCATATATAATTATTACATACTTACTTGTCTATATAGATTTCAGCGTAATATCTCTTTAGAAAATTTTTGAAATTATTTTTCTTTAAACCCAACTGAAACGCACGTAAATGTGCCTCAACCAATATGAGATAGGTTGGACCACAAATCAGCATCTGATCCAAGTTGTTGTTATTTGAAAGGATATAACGGAGCTCGGCATCGTTGTGCTGTATAAATATGAAGAAACCCAGCGCCCAGCAAAAGCGATCGAATAAACGTTCCAGTCGGTTGGCATTATCCCGTAGTGGCCAACAAATATTATTCAGTAGGCGATAGGCTGCTAGGGGCCAAGAGAGCGGAATCAATTTACCGTTAGGCAACCTCGGACGATACAACATTTTGACGACTAACAAGTACAACGTATGGAAAGTGAAGTTTTCGACAAAGGATAGTGTGCTCTTTTTATACTTACACCGAGTCCCACCCAATTTTCCCCACACAAAAAAAAAATATGAAAATTCTTTATGAATACGTACATACATATTTGGAGGATTATGTTTCTTGACATGAATATCTCACAGACACAATTAAGTCATTACGGCATTTGTTTATTTAAAAAGTTTGTTGTTAACTTTATAGGCAATGGGTTTGCGTTTACTATATTTATAAATATCTCATTATACACACGTATATGCATATGCCCAGTAAGAAATATTCAAAAAAGGAATCACCTTGTCCCCTTCTTTTGCTTGATTGGCGCTGATACGGCTGAAGCAATTGTAGCCTAGCCTTATTTTCACGGCTCGACAATAGTAGTTGATCTTCCTTCGAATCTGTTTCAAGCGGGAGCTACAACCATTCAAGTGGCATGACCTAGCCAGCGTTTTCTCCAACTCCTAATTTTCTTCTTCCAGACGTTGGCACCGCTTACGCGACCGCCAGGCCTCCTTTTCATCTGCATCCTCCGCCAGGTACTTTATCGAGTACATACTTTCAAAGCTGTAGTAACATAAACCGGAGTTTCTTGGTAACTGATTTATGGCAATATCGCCGTATATCTCGTACAGCTTCTCGTTCCATCGTCTGCGATCTTTGCCGTTGCCAATACGGAAAAGTCCTTTGACGAGGGGCTTTTTTTAAGTCTAAAAATACGAAATCCTTTGAATTACTTTATTAGTCTTCCTTTCAAATTTTAGAACGATCGGCTGAAATGGAGACGAGAGAACGCAAGATAGCTGAGGATGGGTCAGACGAAATCCCACCACCAATGCAGACAGAAATTCGCCATGTGATTCTTTTCGGGTTTCGGCGTAATTTACAGCCAATACATATATTCAATGAATGCCAAATTGGCCGTCTTTAAAGACTATATCTAAGTGATTCCGAAGGTTCCAGACCGGACATTTTTCTTTTTCGTAGAGAACAAGCCCTGAGAAGGTCGACCAAAATTTTCCATTGATAACTTCACGGTAGCTCTGGAGAAGTCCAAAATTGACAAAGACCCACGGTTTACACAATAACTGATTGTTATTGAATTGGGCTTGAATTCCTTTGCTGTATTGCGAATATTAAATAATCATCTGGGATACACGAAGAAATCTGCTCGATGGGTGCAACGAATTTTAAATGAGGCCCTGAAAGAGGTTCGAGTTCATTTTGCTCAATTTTTCCTAAGCAAATTCGAAAATGGTCAGCCTAGCAACTTTAGTAAAGTCGTTACTAGTCACGAATCTTGGTTCTAAAACTACGATCCAGAAACCAAACAGCGGTCCATGCAAATGGCACACTGAAGAGTGCTTACCAAGAGTTTCCAAAAAGTTTTTGGAAAACAGGAAGAAAGAATTTGCTTCGCTAATTTTTACATCATGACAACGCGCCATCCGACACTGCTGAAATAACCAGTAACTTTATTGGGATCTCTGGGATCGAAGAAATGCGTCCAACACCATATTCCCCGAATTTAGCACTTTGTGATTTCTGGTTATTTCCAATAATGAAGAAATTTAAAAATAAAGGTCTTAAAGGGCAACGAGAAGATAATTAATGTGGTTAATGCTGAACCTGGTAAGCTCAAAAAGTAAGATTTTAAAGACTGTTTTCAAAAGTGGATCTATAGGCTTAAGAAATGCATTGAAATCAATGGCGATTAAGTAGAGAAGATAAAAAAGGACAAAGGTTACGAATATATACAAGAAGAATTTTTGGTTTTTGTTAAAGAAAATTAGTCAAGTAAAATATTAAGTTAATTTTTCTAATTGCGGTCGCCCTCGGCAGGAAATGTCAACTCTTCCCCCTAGTGTATTTTTGACATGTACTAAAAGCCACAACACAAATTGGAGGAAGAGCTCGTCCGGTGCAGTGGTTACGGGTATCCAAAATTCCATTTTTTTTTTTCTTGATACTACCTTCCGTATATTAGATTGGGAAGGAAAAATAAGCAATCATTTGATAAATCTAAATTCTATAAATGTAAATGCTTGTACGGTTGTGAGCGGGAGAACTGAAAAATACAGTAGATCCCAACATAATAAGTATTTTGTAATTTAGTTATGATATTAACTTAGGATTATTAAAGGAAATATGAGAAAACTGCCACACATCTGAGTTTTTCGCTCATATTTTTCTAGTAGGGTCACTTTGAGCGAATAAAAGGCGAATTCGCCTTAGTTTAGAGTTTCCGTGATTATTGAATATTCTATTGCCGCTAAAGCAAATCAGAAATTTTGCTATTAGACAAAAGAAGCGATTTTACATAGTCATTATCAGTTTTTATATTCTTGAAATTAATCAAGTTGCAAGCCGCTCTTTATATAAAGCAGAAAGTTTCAATTTTAGAAAAATGTCAGCAACTTTAAGTGAATACAAACTTAGTTGTGAATTGCTTGGTCATTCTATGGATGTACGCTCGGTTGGGGTTGGTTGGGATACTCCAGAAGGACAAATAATAATCTCCGGTTCACGCGATAAAACCGTGAAATTGTGGAAACGCTTAGGGTAAGTATTTGCAGAAAATATTTACCTTGTATTTTGAATGACTAACAATTTATACCAATAGCGAAAACTATGCAGAGGCTGTGACATTTCAAGATCATAAAAATTTCGTTGCTTGTGTTTGCTACCTAGAAAGTGAACAATGGATTTGTACGGGAAGTAATGATGCAACGGTAGCTATTTATAAGGAGGGTGGATACATCCCAATACTGACTCTGACTGGGCACACTTCAACCGTGTGTGCTATCGCTGGTGGAACAATGCCGCAAACTCTTATTACCGGTAGCTGGGATAAAACCGCACGCATTTGGACCATCAATCAAGAAGGTGTCGCAACTTCAGTAGTACTACGCGGACATGAAGCTGCAGTATGGTCAGTAGCCTGTACGAAAGAGTTAAAAAAGTATATTACTGGTTCGGCAGATAAATGCATTTATTACTGGAATGAAAAAGGTGAAAAGTTGCGTATGTTAAAAGGTCACACAGATTGTGTACGTGGTGTTATAACAATGAGCAATAACTCATTAGTTTCATGTGCAAATGATGCGCTTATTAAATATTGGAATGAAGATGGTGAATGTGTTAGAGAATTAAGTGGGCATACTAATTATATATATTCAATTGCTGCGAATAAAGCCATTGGACAAAATGTTATAGTATCTTGTGGTGAAGATAGCACATTACGAATGTGGAACTTAGATTCTGGTGAAGAAATGGGCAATCCTATTGTCCATCCTGCACAATCCGTTTGGTCTGTAGCTTGCTTGAAAAATGGCGATATTGTAACCGGCTCTAGTGATGGCATAATACGTGTATTTACAAAAGACCCAGCTCGATACGCTGCTGAGATAACCCTGAAAGCTTATGAACATGCTGTTGATACAAGGAAAGCACAAATGAGTGAAGAAATTGGTGGAATAAAAAAGACCGAGTAATTATATGTTAATAACTAAACAATGAACTGAATAAAAATTTTATGATAATTATATTTTTAAAAGGTTTCCAGGACCCGAAGCTTTACTTACAAACGGCACCAGAGAGGGACAAACTAAAATGATTCGTCATCAAGATGGTTCAGTTAAAGTATACAATTGGGAGTTAGGTCAGTGGATATTAGTTGGTGACGTTACTGGAGCTTCAGGAGGATCACAAGCCACATCTGGCAAGACTTTATTTGAAGGAAAGGTACTTAAATTTTATTTTATATAAAAATAATATATTCATCTTAGTTTATTTGTAGGAATACGATTATGTATTTTCTGTAGACATCTCAGATAATGCACCTCCAATAAAACTGCCTTACAATCGTAACGAAGACCCTTGGCAAGCAGCACAAACATTCATTCATCGAAACAACCTCCCGCAAGTGTACTTAGATCAAGTTGCTAATTTCATAGTGAAAAACTCGAGCAAAACAGTTGATTCAACAACCAAATCAACTTCAAGGTTACTAAGACAATTTGCAATTCAACCTCGGTAATGTGAAGTGAAATGGTGATTAAATTAATTTTTTTTTACAGTGGCTACCAGGATCCATTTACAGGTGGCTCTCGATATGTGCCAGGTGGTAGCAATCCAGGCTTGAACTCTGCAGGAAATGTAGATCCATTTACCGGAGGTTCAAGTTATTCTACGCAGCAAAAAGGTTTTTATCACTTTTTCTTTTTTTTTATTAATTCTTATGTATGTGATTTGGTCTTACAATTGAAAATTGTAGTGTTAAATATTTGATCATTCTTATTTTACCTTCTTAGCAGGGCAACATTTCCCTGTCAGAAAATACGTAACTTTTGATAATTGCGATCCTGCCAAGGTGTTGGAAAAATTAAAGTGAGTTCGAAAATAGAATTGTAGTTCCTACTTATATCAACTCACTCTTTTTATTATTATCATTCACAGGGAATTTAATACCAAGCTCACAGTGGAGAACGGACAAGTATCCGATACTTTGCTAAACGCAATTATAGCTTTAACTGCAGCAACGCCAGACGTGGATACGTGCTCTGTTGAGGCACTACAACATTTATTAAGTTGGTCTAATGGTATGTGCATCAAATGGCAGTTGTAAGCATATGCAATTTCATTATCTCCTGATTTGTATTTCTATCTTCAGATATTCTATTTCCTGTGCTGGATGTGTTGCGATTGGCAATTCGACATGAACCTGTTTTTTCGATTTTAAATTCTTATAATTTTGTAGATTCCATAGTACCGAAACTAAACACTTCTGCTCCTAATACCTTAATGGTAGTGCGGTGCTTAGCGAATATGATGTGTCATGAAGCGGGTAGGATAGAGGTAGAAAAGCGTTTGGTGACTATATTGCCACAAATTAGTGAAATCAAAAATGGTAGTGCAAACTTGCAGATTGCCGTTGCAACGTTTTATTTGAATTTGACAATCTCTCAGACATTCGTTGCGAAAGGTGAATGTTGTCAAATGGTTACCGAGGGTATCGTTGAATTGTTAAAGTGGGCTAAGGACTTGGAAGCATTTTACCGATCTTTTCAAGCCATTGGCAATTTAACAACAACGCCATTTAGTCAAACATCAGTGGCTATTATTGTATCAACGGACTATGTAATGGACAAAATACGCGAATTAACTAACACACCGCAAACGGGTGTGTATGCTAAACTTAATTCCGCAGGCAAGGAACTGCTGGCAGCTTTCTAAATAAATAATTCCTCATACTCAAACTACAATGGATAAACGATATTTAAGAAATGCATCAACATCAACTTTTGTTCAACAAAAATTTGATATAAAAAACCGAAATAAATACATAATACAATTATAAAACGATGGAAAGCTTTAACTACATTCTGACTGGTATTTTCAAAAGAAACCAATTATAAGATTAACGAGTATATTATTTAAAAAACCTAAAAATTATTGAAATAAAATCGATTCAGCGGAAGATACCGACGTCTGCGGCAGCCAGTTCTTGGCACCGCAGTTAATGCCCTCTAGGTCCAACTAACTCCAGTCTTGCGAAATATTCTACTCCTCTCGTTACTTGATTGGTCCAACTTCCTGGAACTTACTGGGAACGGAAACGATGCCCCTCCACTGCAACCGGCGTTGTCATCATAAACGCTTATTCCGAAAGACAGTAGTGAACTCTGGCGTTCGCGTGATTCCGATATTTTCGAACTGCAGCGGCGGATCTAGCATAAATGGGCCATGGACTAAACCAAGCCAGGGAATTTCCTTAATGAGGGAAGATGTGTATTCGGTAAGTCGACTCACTGAACACATGGTAAGAACACTTCAGATCCTCCAGGCTATCTGCATACATAGTGTATGTCCTGTATGCAGTAAGTCCCCACATACCACTCACCCATACATCCAACAGGCCTCTCCCTCTGGTCCGCACCAGCCGAAACAGCTTGATTCCTGAACCTACCGTTCGAAGACCTCGACGACATACATACTCGTAGACTAACTTTGCTGCTAAGTTTAAGTTTCAAAAGAAATTTGTTTATTTTAAAGTCGCAACAAATAGCGAAATGTACATATTATATATAATTAACAATTTGATTTTAGCATTCTTTGCTTTCACTTATGATTTCAATGGCACAAGGATCGGCTTGTGGACTGCAAATGGGTTCACTTTCTGTTTCGATTTCACTTTCGCTGACACCCTCACAAGGTATACACTCGACACACTCGCCTTCACCTTCCTCCTCAGCTTCGCCCACATAAAGAATGCTACGTTGTAGCGTCAGTTCTGTCGGAACTGTGCTCAATGAGCATACGGATACCTCGGAATCGGACAGAGGCAACGGTACCGGCTCTTGTGGCAATTGCGCATAGTCGTAGCAGCAAATATCCTGTGCGAACCATTGAGACGGCAGCACATCAACATACACCTCCATGTCATTGCGCTCTATCTCGCCTTCAGCACCATATTCATCCAATTCACCTTCAGCCCCTTTCTTAGTTTTATACACCATACCGGGCGTTTGAAAGTAGCCCATCAACATATAACGTTGATCAAACGTAAACACAGCTGGTCCTTGCGGGTATTCGTTGTCCCAACTGCCATGCAAAATGGTTGACCGATCTTTATCGCCATAAAACACTTGAAAAGGACCAACTCGCACACCCATGCGCCACGTGCCTTTGAAGCGCAGCTCTCCGCAATCTTCGGATTTAAAGCAATAAACACCGACGCCATGTCTTTGACCGCGATACCAGTTACCCATGTAGCAGTCGCCATTCACATATCTATAACGTCCTTTGCCATGTTTAATATTCTTGCGCCAACATCCCTCATACATGCTACCATCCGGATAGATGAACATACCCCGACCGGAACGATGTCCTATTATTTTAATTAACATATAAAGGAAGTTGTTTTTCCTATACGACTTGCTTACCACAACGATAGCACCCATAATAACGTGACCCATCCTTAAACACATACAGTCCTATGCCGTGACGCCTACCTTGTCGATATTGACCGTCATATTGATCCCCATTCGGTAGGATAGCCCAGCCGCGTCCATGGCGTTGACCCGCGGCATTTCGTCCTCCGATGTAAAGCTAAAGAAAATACATAATAATCCAAACAGATACGTATATTATAATCTAAGTCTTACTCCGATATTTATGCGATCCTCTTCCTCCTCGGCCACAGTAAACTCAGAGTCTGTGGATATTTCCGATATACTCATTTTGCGTATATATTCAAAGATAACAGAGTAGAGAATTATTTTTTAACAAAAATTAACATCAAAAATTATAGTGACATACATACATATATATGTATTTCATATGAAGAATGTTTTTGAAATAAAATTCCTAAAAATACCAAAACTATTTCATTTTCCAGATCACTACAGCCAAGGAGAATTCATAAATATATCGTTCAATACAGTGTTGTGGATTAACAAGTAACTCTGTTGTCCGCATGTCTTCGTTCATTACCAAACCCATACTTTTAGCACGATAAATGGAAATGGTTATGGGAATACTCACTTCTTCCTTCTTGTCAATTGGGCATAGCAAACATATTATATTTTCCAATCAGCAGCTATACTCTCGTCCGACAATATTCTGCATTGGGTAACACCTCACCGACCGATTTGAAGAGCTTAGCATTCTTCGAAAATGCTCAATCCATAACCTTAATACAGGACAAAAATTCATTCTTGTAGTACTCTCATAGAATTCAGGAGCACTTCAGTGTTTGTGAATCCCTAAAATTTTCGTACTCACGCAATTCTGCCCCTTTCGATTTTCATCTTCTCTAATTCTGGCCTAAGACGATATTAGATCTCTTCAAATCATATCTAAAACAGAGATCCAGAAAACGAGCTATTTCGACGGGGTCAGACCAGAACGAATAACCTCCTTTCCTTGAGTAGGTTTTAAGGGAAATGCATATATATGTCGGTATTTAAGTAGGATTTGAGTCTACTACTGCATCTACACCTAAGTTGTGCCAGAAATTTGCCACTCTTACGACAGAAAACTCTACACACAGGAGTTGACCTTATTTCATTCGACCAACCCTGTATGGGTCAACAGGTAAATTCCGCTTCGTGTTGTTGTTGTTTTTGTTGTTGTGCAACTATGCAGCCCCGATTAGGAGCAGGCGCGATTAGTCCAATTCATCGAGGTCCAGGAAACGATCTGTGCGAGATCTCATTGTATACAGAACCTACATTGCATATGTTGCCGTCAAACCTGGATAGGTCGAATGCGGTAAACAGATTTCAATTGTGCCAGTATTACTCGATTGTATAGAAACAGCTCGAACTCTTCGTCTGCAATGGGTGGTAATTGAATTTCGACAATACCGAATTATCGGAGAATGGCATTTGAAAGCCTGTCGATACGCAGTCCTGTACAGCGGCTATTGTCTATGGAACCTGAATAGAGTCGGTGTAATGTGCTGTCAAGATCGTAAGAGGGGTATTATGGCTTCATACTCGTATGCATCTCATTACTCCCCGGCGTCCAAATCGGAACAAAGTAATATACCACCTTGTCTTGTATGCTGCCTTTATCCCAGGAGCTGCCAGCTAATGCTTTAGGGTTTTGGTAGCGACTCTATACTTTTGTAGCAAATGCTGTCATACGGAGTGAAGGAAGTGCAAGCTGTAGAATGAGATTCTCACTAACATTAGGTTGTTAATTGTCGAAATTTTCGCGATATCGGGTTCGAGCCGGTACTTTTTCGTCCACCTGGTGAGAAGGGTGGACGATGATTTGGCAGGTTTTAGCTGCAGCTATCGTGCATTGAAGAAGTGGGAAAGGTGGGCACGTCATCTTCGAACGCTTTTAAGTGCGTTCCAAGTAGGCTGCCTTGGTTACATCATACTCCGCCTTGAGTGAGGCAGATTGTTGTTGTTGTTGTAGTGGCGGTTCGCTAACCCCGCTTAGGTACAGGTTTCACTAATCTAAGTCGCCGAGGTCATCTAATGGGAGATCCAGGAAACGAGCTGTTTCGACGGGTTCGGACCAGGGATAGGAGGTTTTGATGAGTCGGTTTAAGAGATCATGTGATGAGGTGGTTAGTGTCGTGCGGAGACTCTCCACATGCAGGTCATACGTTGGATATGCTGAGGTCGAGTCTGGATAAGTAGGAGTTTAACCTGCTACAGTATCCAGACCTGAGTTGTGCCAAGGTTTAGGCAGATTGTGATGAGACGTTCTTCCACCGGGTACCAAAAAAATTAGTAAAACTTGTGCTTTTTTTAAATTACTTACTATCATTTTATTAAATAAATATTTTGAATATTGCAAGAGAAAATTTTCATTTTTTGTTCTCTTTGCCTATGGATTGAAGAAAACCCTGATTTAGATTTAGATCTTGATATACTGTATATACTGTATGTGCCAAAAGTTCTTCTATAGGAACACATTTATTATCGTTATTTTTTTTTTACTGTAACTTAGACAAAGATTTTATCTACATATTTATACGTGTATGTATATATTTTTTTACAATCAGACTTATACCCCGAAAAAGTATAACTTTTAAATTTATAATACGTATGTAAGTGTGTGTGTGTGTACTTAATAATAGAATATATTTTTGGTATCAACAAAATTACAATTATTTGACAAAAATATACATATAAATACATAGCATATTTGTACATACGTGTATGTATGCATGCGCTTATATACATAATTATATGCTTACTTCCTCTTCCTCCTCCTCTAAGCTTCATAAAAGTAGCTTGCCAAAGGATATCGTATAATCAACGCGCATAAAGTACAAATCACCTGAAATCCCAGTAAAAATTGAGTGACAACTGACTCATGTACGGGGCCAAAAAGAACCAGCACAAAGTTGATTAGCGTAAAATTATTGGTAATCACCCGACCGTCCACTTGCTCCTGCCACGATATTAGTTTCAGATTTTTCAGTATACGAACCATTAACAATCCCAGCGGATTTAAATCTTTCAAATGAAATTCCGTTGTACTTATGTGAAGTAGTTCGGTTCTGACGTCGTACTTGGGTAAACGATGCCGCGGACATGGCACGAAGTGGAATAATTGCGGTACTGAGTACAAAAAGTTTAGTATCTGCGGTATGAAGAACAGCAATAGAGTTTTACTAAAATGCCCCAATATTCCGACGACAGCGAAGGTCATTCCAGCAAAATAACAATAAGTATCGCCGACGAATACTTGCGAAGGGTATCTGCAAATGAAAAATATAACGGTGTAAAGGATTTGTATTGATTAACGGGAGATAATATAATATTAATAAATGTGGGGATTCCGTTTTTGAAATGGTCTTAAAAGGTATAAAGTCTTCGGTATGGCCGAGGGCAGCGCTTCTTTCTTGTTTCTCGTGGTTAATAGCAAGCTTGGTAGAAGAAGTGCGGTCCGAGATATTTTGATCTCTCCACAATTAGCAGTAGGTTCACCCTTTTGATACATTATTGTAAGACCTCCAAGTGTTCTATATCGAGTTCGTAAGTTAGAAAATGGAAAACTTGAAAACCTTGTTCATATCAGTTCGCAGCAGCGAGACACACCCAGCATTGCTTTCCGTGTATATACAGGGTGCTCCATCTTTTATGTCGGTATGCAAACGCTGAATAACTTTCACATTTATCACATGGATCGCTTCACGCCGAAACAACGCGCTGAAATAGTGACACTTTTTATCGAAAACAGTCAACTCAACGTGCATATCGGAAAAAATATCGCGGCAAAAAGGCACCATCTGACAATACTCCTCATTTAACCTCCCCGGAATTCTTTGGGGTTATCTGAAAAGCAAGGTTTACGCCAACCAGCCTCAAACTATTGATGAGCTCAAGGCAAATATTCGTGCTGAAAGCGACGCTATAACACCCGGGATGCTCGGAAAGGTGCTGGCAAACGCAGAAAAAGGAGTCACTTTGTAATCGCTAATAAAGGTAGCCACTTGATTGATATTGCTTTCAAAAACAAGTCCAAAAAAATTGTAAGGAACCAAACTGAATAAAAATACAAATTATAGAAATCGGTTGTTTTTTCTCAAAGTTATTATTACATAAAAGTTATTATTACATAAAAGTTGGAGCAACCTGTATGTAGGTCTTGAGGTTTTTTCTATACCCAATAGTTTCCTTTAGATGATGCTACCTAAGTTTGATAGACGTATAAAGAGAGAGATAGGGAGACAGAGAAAGAGAAAGAGAAAGATAGAGAGAGGTATTAAGAAGCCGGTCATTTTGGACCCGTCCGTATAGATTAGATGATATCAATTTCATTTGTTACACATTTTCTCCATCTATTACTAGAGGACATCCACATCTGAAAGCAATTATTAGAATTGAGCAATGGCAGGATTTAGTTTGATTTAATTAAAGTCTGAGCCGGTTCCGAATAAAAAACAACCTTGACTAGAAGTTCATAACGATTTTGGCTTTAATCGCCCAATTCCTTAGGTCTGAGAGCAAAGCGTATAGCCACTTTTTGATATGCATTTAATACAGGAGCATGTTAAGCTCAACCGTCGGACATGTAACATCTGCACAGACTACTCTTTGTATTCCATTTAATTTTGTGATGTGTATTTGGCGTGGAGCGATTTTCTGCCGAGCTCTTTTTCTAATTTGTGGTATACTTCGTTTGTAGTTTTCAAAAAATCAATTTTTTTTGAATGCACATAGTGTATGTTTTTTTGAGAATATTTTCCGAAAATCTAAAGTTGATCCGACAGTCTGGGAGCTGTGATCGTATCATTAAGGACGTCTCGTCGTGTTCGAAAATAGGCTAAGCGGAAGGCGGAGTAGTTTAACTAAGTGTAAATGGTTCGCAAAACCTTAAATGCGTTTTTCTCGAAACGCTGTGCTCAGAGTCGATGAAGAAAATTTCTATGGAACGGGTGAATCGATCGGCTTAGAATTTCCACACGAACTTTGTTAGGTAATGATCGAAGGAATAAAATTTTTGATAATAATTTCGATATCTTACGCCACTTTGAAGTATAGAATTTCTCATAAAAATGGTTTATAGTTAAACTACATTAAATTCTGTCTAATAACATTTTTTCTATTAATTTATAAAATAAAATGCATCTAAAAAGCATTTATTTTGTTTTGCAAGTAGATATAACTCCTTATTGCTTTTCCAACAAATGAAGAGATCTACAGTTTATACTAAGCCGCCTCCGAACGGCTGATGCTTTCTTTATAAGAAGCCTTTATTTCATGTCAGAAATACACTCGCAGGGCTTGGAATTCCCTGACGAAGTGCGACCAAAGAAGGAGTACCAATGATTGTGCTTATTTCCACGTTGTTAAAGGCTCCCTTTATATTTATTAAGGCTGCCACTACATGAGGAGCAGTTGCTAGTAATCGAACCTTTATTTGCACAACTTGGGCCGTTGATAAGATCTCCAATATGAGTGATCTTATGATAACCCATCTAGTGCCTCTTCTAAAACTTTAAGAGTATAGAAAGTGAGGCTTATGAGTCTAACGTTCCTAGCATTGTTGTGTGCTCTTTTACTCGGTTTTACAGGGAAGTATATTTTCCGTAGAATTTTATGGGTCCTCCCGCTAGAAGTTCTGCCACGAGTCCGTTTTCAACCTCCTCACTGTTTTTTTTTTACGGTTTCTTGATATTTTTATAAGGTTCCCAGATATTGCTATCAACGAGCACTTTTCTGAGTTGGGCTCTGAGGTTCTTACGATCACTGTTCAACCAAGGAGGTGATTTCCTCCTTTTGAGAACGAGGTTAATATGCAAAATTAAGGTAAGAAGATGTCGACGGTGTAGCCGGTGTTAAAGCGTGAAAGGAAGGACGAAATCTCGAGAATAATGAATGCGAGATATCGAGAAATGTGATTTGATAATTCTGTTTTATTTCGACCAGTCCTGTGGGAAGCGAGGCAGCATTGGTATTATATTTTAAATAAAACAATAATATATTCATATTGAGGAGTTTGGTAAGTGAAATCTCCACTCGCCGTCTGGCGACTTTTGTCCACTCAAAAGATGTATCCGCATAACAGACGTGCATGTTAGGAGAGGTTGTTCTGTATTTTCAAACCAAAATTCAATTTATGTTATTCTATCTTGAGTATGTTTTCTTTTTTTTTTGACTACCCTAATGCAAGTACTTTATATACTCTTGTGCACAACTATTTTTTTATAATTTCCTACTTGATCGACTTTTCATTTTACTAAATGTCCTGTTCGATGACCTTATGGGCAGAAACAATTATTACTGATTTTTTCTGAAAATCATGCTGTGATGCAAAAATCCAGTAAAATTTGCCACGATAGAGCGCAATTTTGACATTTCGTTACTGACTAATTCTTACTGACATATCCCACCGAACAGAGCTGGAGTAAAATCAAGAGACCAAAACAAAAAACAACTACAACGAAAATGCAAGACAGCTGCTAATCAGCGGCCTACAATTACTAACAGCTGATACTTTTATCGTACTTTTTATTCACTTTCCTTTGACAGACCAATAAAGCTAGTTCTTGGGTGTGTTTTCGATAAGGGCACAGTGAAAAATAAATGCAAATTAGCAGAAAATTTATTGGAAAATGATAAAGAAAGTGCTTTATATAATGTAAAGTGAATATTTATGATACCAAACTGTATGAAATTGATGTACATACATATGTATTACAAATGACAAATGTTTCAACGCAGCGGAGCAAATGCCTCAATACGCTCAGCGAGCTACCAACAACTGCACTCTGCAACTATAACAGATTTCGAAATGCCAGAATCGATAAGTTTAACTTCACAGGGAGCGAGGTCTACGTTAACCAAGAAGTTACTTTTAACTTTATTTGTGCTGGTTCAAGTTTGCTTCATCTCGTGCCTATGGCTGATGCAGCTGGGCGGAGGCCTTAATACCAGCATTAATGAGGTAACAGTACAAAGTACCAAAAGATTAGCAGGCAGTAATAATGTGAAGAATATGTCACTTATTGGACGATTGCATGCGATGAGGCGAGTTAATTTCGTCAGAAAATTGTCAACATATAAACCAACTGAAAAATCGACCAGAAAAGAATTTTCAACGCACGCATTATCGCCAGCTGTGATCAAGAATAGTCAATCATCAGGGAATGTAAGCAATTTTAAAAAAGACTTTTATCTCAAACTAAACAGACTGAATACAAGCATAGAATTTAGAAATAGAAACGGGTTAGTGCCTGAGTTGGACAACGATACATTGTGGTGTTTTCGGGAAGGGAGCATCGACGAAAAATCTCAATCAACAAATGTTGATGTCGAACAGGATTTACCAATATCCTGGGAGGAAGAAAACATGCAATGTAAGTGCCGCGCAGGATGGCATGGACGCGATTGTGGTCAGCCTGAGGTGATGTGGCGCGCGTTGTTAACAAAAAAATCACACTTTAAACTGCAGAAACCAAGTGAGACAAAAAATCCAAATAAATTAGTTTATTTACTCGAGGGAAACTTTTTTAATTTGGATTTGCTGGATTTACAAATAAGTACACTTGCAGACATAGTAGACTATTTTGTAATATATATAAGACCAGCACAAAAGGATTTAAAACAGCTTAAACGCTCAGTAAAAGAAACTCTCAAGACGAACAACTACTTCATTTTCCATTGTGACCAGAAGTTTGCTTTGAAAAATGAGAACTGCACAACCCACTATGTGTATAGCTATTTTCGTCAGCAACTCAAAAATAAGAAACTTCATTTCACACCGCTAAAACCCACTGATTTACTGCTTTACACTGACGATCGTGTGCTGCCATCACGACAGGCATTGAAATTTCTCAAGTATTATGCAACAGATGTTAGCATTACACCGTTTCGACTGAAATATGTCGTTTATGGATTTTATTGGTTGCATCCCAAGCAAACCTATATAAACGGTTTTATAAGTTCCTTTGTCCATATGGACAACTCAAACCAAAGAGCCGACGAGAATGCACCTGCCCATTTCCAACAATTATTTGCAGGTGAAAGTGAGCGCTCATCAGCTTTTGTCATCGGCGATCTTAACCATTTTGGTGGCTGGTTTTGCCGATATTGCCAGCAACCGGAAGATATCATCGCCGAATTGCATGCAGAATCAAGTTCCTCAAAACAAGTGCAATTCCCGGCAGCCGAACGCAACCACAATATTGATGTGGCATATTTGCAAAAACTTATTGCCAATGGTATCGATGTGGATGGGAAAACACAACTACTCCGTAATCGTCGATATTCGGATATATACTATGCGCCGGCAATAGCGGAAAAGGAATCTTCGAAATTTGGAAATCTACTAGTTAATTTATATGAAACATTTGACGATGACATTGAATATGAAGCCGGAGATTATTAATGTAATTTAAAATGACGGATATGCTTGCCTTGGCCGTTTAGGTATTTAAAATTATAAATAATTTAATTGGATTATGTTTTGGAATAGATGGAGTAGACGTACATATTCATTAAAGAAAATGTGTTTAAAATAATAATTTAAATGAAAAAAGAACTTTTACTTTGTGAATTAGCCAATTAGTTAATTTTCAATAAAAATCGAATAATTTTGTGAACAATGAATCGAATTTTGTACGTTTAAAAGTACATAAGCAAAGTAATTACAAATTGTGCCTAAAACCATTTAAATTATAATTTATTTAAATATTCTCATGTTATTATTGTTTGCTAGTAAAGATATAAAATAGAAATAAGACATAATTAATACTTTTGAAAAATCTAAATAAATGTGCGAATTATGATATAAGCATTCATTAAGATGTAATGTGTTTTAAATAAGAATTACTCGTTAAGATACTTATATTCCCAAATCTGGATACAATTTCGAAGACAAACAAAAACAAATAAATCTTATTCGATTATTTACATTCAATATATAAATATGTATTTACGTGAATACTCTCTTCCGACTTTCGCATCAAAAATACGTGAAAATTGTATTTGTAAATTAATTTGCCTTTTATATCGAAATTATTTTACAGGAACAACTACAACATGACATATCAACAAAGATATTATTTATAAAATATGGAAATATTTAAAATAACGTATTAATTGTAATATATGTATATCCACATACACTTACGTGCACAATTATAGTCAGTGTTGAATTACTTGATCACTTCTTTTACAGACCTGATATACTAAATACTGCATATAAAAAGTAATTTAAGCATGTATATAAATATGTTTCTGTGTAAAAATAATGTAAAACTCTTATTTTTCAAATTTAAATTTATAACGATTTGAATTTTTTTAACAAATGCTGTGATATAGTGATTTGGGTTAAAAACCAAAATGATATGCATTTCTTATATATTCATGTTTACTTGTAAAATTTCAAAAATTTCACGAATTTAAAGCTGCCATTTTGTTCCATATCAGACTTTTTATATACTTTTATAGCAAATTATATTTTATCCAAAGCATTTGTTATGTTAAAACACTCGTCTTAGATTCAATTATAGACTAGCCAGCAAACACTACCAAAACAGTCTGAAAAACAGCATAAAATGTATAAAATTTCGTTGTTTAGCAATCTTAAACAAAAGTTTTTGTTTACTTCTGAGTCCTGTTCATTCAAATAAGGGTCTAGAAAAAACACGAGCGAAAAATAGTAAACTATAATTTAGCATAAATAAATTTTTTCGTAAAATTTGAGTCGAACATTTCTTCTACGCCAATATTTTGCAACTCTGTGAAAAATTCACAGAAAATAAAAGAAACTTTGCTGGCTGGTAATAAAAAAATATAAAACTACAATCGATGGGAAAGCAATAGAAAAACACTTTGAAAATCATAATATTTTATATGTCTTACCAGAGCTAAACGAAATAATATTTCTAATATAGTAATCTATACAAAAGAAAAATTTTGGTAAATAAATATGCTTCAAACAAGCTGTCGTATGTATTTATTAAAAAATGTATAATATAACTACTTATTTTTTAAGATGTTGTTGTTGTATCAGTTCTCCAACCCTTCTTAGGAACAGACTAAGCCATCGAGGTTGAGGAACCGAAATGTTTCGATGGAGAAAATGGGGTTATATGAGTAGATTTTAGGGGACGTGCGCAGTGTTGATTTGTGTCGTGCGAGGCCTCATTGCATATAATACATACGTTGGAATTAAGTCGACTACAATATCCAGATCGTAATAAGAGGATTTTATGATCGCCGATTCATTAGGGAAATTAGATCTGATTTCAACTCTCACAACAGCCGGCTCTAGACACCGGATTTAATTCGGCTAATGGCTGTCACCCTTTCAGTAACTTAACCCCAGTTTAGGTCACTAAGTAATTCCAGTATATTTTGATTTAAGAGATTTCGTGTAATTTCTCATTTTTCTAAAATGCACATTCAAAATTTTAACCTTTTCGGCTAACGTGTTTTCTATTGAAAACGAATATGAAAACCATACCAGCTTAAAAAAGTAAGTAAAATTATTATTACCTTAGGGGATTTATTTCTTGACGAATTTTATTTAAAAGTTGTGGTCCAATTTCAAGTCCTATGAAAATACTGCCCTTTTTATTTGGTATCAATGTAATTTGAAAAATGTATTTATGCCCCTTAAGTTTTATGCTTTTAGCTTAACAGTACAGTTTTGGTTGCATTTTTATAATAGCAAGAAGTCAACCCTTAAAAGTCGGCAAACTAATTAACTGGCATTGCTTTCCTTCCGATTTACTACCAAAAATTTTATCGCAATCTTATTTGTTCATCTCGTCCATTAAAAAATATCGAACTGTCACTCAGTGACTATAGACGACTAAAATATATGTCAACTATGCATACTGATTATTGTACTCACTTATTATATTTCCAAAGTGCCAGAGAGACCGCCAAGAATGGTAACATAAGATAAATCGAAAACTTATGGCAATCGACTTGATGTCCAAATGCAAGCTCAATAACGTTGTAAAATAGAATCGATGCACCGATAACAATAGATTGCCCAACTTCCAAGCCATTTATACCAGCAAGAATATTAATTGCATTGGTACAAAATACGGCCAACATGCCCATGTAAATGTAGTAAAATACACCTGTAATGAAATATTTTGGTTAACAAAAGATCCATAATCTACGCTGCTATTTTACTTTACCAATATCCAGGGAATAACCCAACAATGATCTGACAAATTTTGGCATAATCACTGTGGTTATATTAAAATTTACATAGTAAACCATTAGTAATGGCAGTGTAGCCATTGTTGGTAAGAGTAATTTATGCCGCCAACGTAGGTCCAAAACGTCATCTGCAAAGCCAAGAAGAATCATGCAGCATATAGATAACAGCGCAGCTATCATTTCGGCAAACTGTAATGCAATATAAGTAGTTATTATGATTAATGTATTACCTTATATTTTATTTTTTAATAAAATTCCTTATATAAATCACTATTCGTTGAATTGCAGTCGTAAACCATTTGTTAAATTACCTTCTCATGTGGAAAAGTTGCTGGTTTTGCGCCAGTTTTAATATCAAACAAAGCAGATTCCTCAAATGTGTATGGAATTGGTATGAAGAGGAACATGGCCACAAGAAATGTGCATCCAATTAATACACCTAAGGATTCAGGACTATTAAACAGATAAATAACAAATTTTTCGTTTTAATCAAGTACATCTAGTCAATCAAAAATATAATTTTACTTACACCTGGGGATTATCACGCTTGCATAAATCTTTACCAAACAAACCGGCCTTGATGAACATATCTTTGAAGCGCGGAATCATACGAACAGTTACAAAATAAGTGCATACGGCAATTAAGCCGCTTATGGCTATTGTAACACTACTCATTATTTTGCAGTTGTCTCTTCTGCATTTATTTCTATATTTGACAAAAATTGATAACAGAATTGTTAAAGCAAAAATTACTAATTCAATTAGAAACGATTACTAAACTTACGTGGACCTGTTGTCAAAGGTGCCGCAAATATTGATAAAAATATGTCAAAAACAGCTGTGCAAACATCAGCTGTGTATAATCGATAACAATAAAAAAAAATTACTTATTTTCTTTTAACGAAATCCGGAAATCATCGAAAGCATTTCGAGTACCGCCGGGTATGAAATGATGGTGTAATTCAAAAATATGTCTAAATGAGTTTCTGTTACCAGCTTAAGGTCACGTTCAAATGTGCAAGCGTAATTAAGCGATCACTTTGTAAAATCGCGGAAAAGGAAATGAAAAGGAACATTATTACTATTATGCTGAACAAAAATATACAGACAATAGTGCAATTAATGAATGGAATAACTTCGAACAGGTGTAAATAAACCAAACATACACTAATATTTCTGAATCCAACATAATTTCGATTTTCGTAGATGTCACGAAATACAAGTAATATTAAATCGTTCGTTTAAAGTAAAAGGAAACACCACAATTTTCACTTTAACCGAAGTATTTTTATTTAAATTACACACCTATTGTTTTCGTATCATTCGTCTCATTTGAGTTTTTATATTTTTACATTTGAAATCTACACTTACATATTTCAGCTGCAACAAATATTTTAAAGAAATTTGGATAAGAATCAATAACAGTAAAAATAAATCTGATTCTAAATTCGTGCTTTAAAATAATCAAAGATATATTGTAAAAGAACTTACATTTTAAACGAATATCGATATAATCATGAACACAAAATCTACAAAGGCATTAGATTTGGATCTAATTTTGAAAGTTTATAAGCATACAAACTTGGGCCTTCAAAATATGCAAAGAAATTATACTAAAGCGTTGGAAGCCCGTTTGCCTAAGGCACGAATCAAAACACTTCTGCTTGAAACTTATAAAAATGGTTGCGCGAAAATGAAAAACGAAAAAGATATATTAAAAGCACAACTCTGGACGGCCACTGCGAAGTGTCATGAGGTCAGGGATGTGCAAGCGCTAAACTCTATTAAATGCTTCATTGAATGCAATGCGGCGCTGGGCGAAGAAGTTCAACAAATCAAATTATATATAACAAATCTCGAGCATAAGCTGAAAGTTATAAATAAAGAGATTTGTCATTTGCGAATTGAACAAGGTGGAAAGATTGGACAAGATTTGGAAAAGGTGAAGAAGTTGTTGCACCTTTTGGAGGATCAATATGAGAACCAGTTGCAATATGAATGTAGACTAACTGCGCAAAGTGAGAAGCTACGTCGTAAAATATGTGAGCTGATTAATGACCGCAGACACTATAACTCATTTTACACCAGATATATACAACAGCTAACTTCCGAAAATAAATACATGACAGACTTGATTGATTTTGTTCTGGATCAAATTGAGATGGGCATAGATATGTTTGAAAAATTAGAGATGCAACATCAATCAAACAAAATGGCTTTGGAGAAACGAAAATATGAAATGGTGGCGATTCAACGGTTCAATATGCAATACGAGAGGAGACACAAATTTCAAGAGCAAAAACTTGTCAAAAGATCATTAACAAAAATTCCCGCCAAGGAGCTTATGCGACGCGAAATTTGTCGAAGCAAATATATAAAGAAACTTCATCTCTACAATAATGTTTTGAAAAAAATAATGGACTACTCCAAGGTGACGAGTATTAGTCAACTTATACGAAAATTCCAAGAACAAGAAAATCTCTACTATTCTTTCAACAATCACTCCAATGAGCTCAGCTATCGCATAACGTTATTAAACAACTCTGTTGCACGTCTGTTCGGCGAAATACAAGATCTGAAGATTTTTAATCGCAGCACGTTAAGGAAGCAGAACGACAAGATAGAAAGTTTGGAAAAGGTTTTAAAAGAAAAACGTAAAAACAATCAAAATCTGAGGAATATGTCCAATTCACAGGATGAAAGTATAGGAAAATTATTTGAGGCTATACAATTGATACGCGATCAAACTCGTACCGATTTATCTATGCTTGCTCATGAATTCGACGATCACAGAGAAATCAATATTAAAACTATGCGTGAGCAAATGAAGTTATTAGAAAATCGCATATATTCAATAGTATGTGTTATGTACAAAATCGAGAGTAAAAAGCGAAAAGCTGGCGATCCATCCGGTTATCTTATTAAAGATATAGGAAAACTAATTGAGCGACCGACACTACTAAGCGATATTGTCTTGGCTACGCAATGTGCAGAATGTGCAGAAGGGGATTCCAAAAATTTGGAGGACCAGTGGACTGTTAATATAATGCCTCCAAAACAGCTAAAAACATGGGTATCTGAGAAGGTGGTACAACCGGAAGTTCAATATCGTCTGCACAGTATCAACCAATGCCGTCTGACTAGATCTCGTTCACGTCGTCAACACGAACAAGAAAGTAGTTAAAGGAAGATGGCGAATTAATAAAATGACGACATAAATTATATAATATAAAAGAAAAAATTTACCAAAAATATTTTGCATTAAGTAAACTGAAATTGTAGGTAAATTTCTAGAATATATTATTGTACGATAAAAAACAATATTATGCGCAGCTCTGTTTTTTTTCGCAACCCTAATATCCGGTTTCGAACTACTCAAAATTTCTCCACTTATTTACATATACATACGTGTACATGTAGGAATCAATCAGGGGTGTTACAGAAACACTTTGTTATCGGAATCAGAATTGAAACCGATAAAATTCTGTTGAGGGGGTTATATATTCCGATTATTGATTTGCGAATTCATTTTCGAAACAGAATTTATATCGATTTTAGGTTTCACAGAAACCGGCTTATCGGTTTAAATGTCAGAATTAAAGCGATCAGTTATTCGTTGACAGAATTGAGTGCAAACTTCTTTGCCAGCAAAAATTTAATAAAAATTTAAGTCCTGAACAATGAATTTTACAAATAGCAAAGCCTGGAATACTGTACTTGATGGAATAATGGTCACGAGCTCTCCATTGTCGCTCATTCCTAAAATAAACCGTAGTGTGGCTGCAAGTTAGAGCACAGGTGGAATAGACAGCCTATTTAGCTGGACTTCAATGACATCTAGCACTATTACAAAAGCTTCTTTGTTAGGACGATATTGGTCTATGAGTCTACATATGCACAAACAAATTTTGTATCAGCAAATGTAAAAGTAGAATGCAAATACATCGACTCTTGCAGCTCCAGCGGTTTGCTCTTATCCCTTACAACTTTGCGCTTTATTTTCTCGATTATTTCATCACATCCTTCTATCATCCAAAATACTATCGCTGCTATTTTATTTTGAATAATCACAAATGTATAAAAATTAATTTGAAATGTTGAGTTTTTGCACAAGTTTGATGACAGCTGATTCGAATCGGTTTTCAGTTTCATAACACCATTCAAACAGATATTGATTTTCAATTCCGTTAAATAAGCGATTCTTTGACGGCTTCTATAACACCATTGAATGTGTTAATATCGGTTGACCGATGTCCAGAGCATACTTGGTGCATGGAGGAAACACTTCTCCAGCCTGCTGAATGGCAGTGACAATGCAAGCCGGAGACGGCGAACTCGAATCGATGATAATGGAAAACACGTTTCATCCACCTGACTATAACGAAGTTCGAATCGCGCCTGATCGAGATAACAAGGTGCATGCATCAACTTGGTTGGGCGAAAGCATGCCCGATCCGTAAAAAAAGGGAACCCCAAGTTCACTCTCGATGAATCAAAAACAAACACTACCAGTCTAGAAGTCCTCCTGTATGGTTAAGAGGCGTGGATGTAATTAACATCCGATAAGTCAGCCTTGTAAGGCTTTGAGAGAAGAATTTTGTGAACGATTTATGATCCTTTGCGCGTTGGAAGCAAACAAAATTGTTTATATTTATGCGGAGACCTTGATATAGTTCAGCGAATGAAAAGACAGCGACTGCGCAGGCTGAATCATATCGTCCGAATGAATGAAAGCATTCCTGCTTTGAAAGTATTCATAGCAGAGGAAGAGAGAAACCTCCACTTCATGGAAAGGATCAGTAGCAAAGCAATCTGGTTTAACTTGGTATTTCCAACTGCCACCAACCAGCGAAGAGAATGAGCAAATGTCACACTATGATTCGGTTATACTCGCGCAAGTGGTGCCTACAACAACACAGATGTAAACATGTATGTACATATATATTACATACGTAATTGGCGCTTTGTAACAGCTGCAGCGATTTTCTGTCGGGCTCCATCTCAAATTAGTGGTCTGTATTTTGATGTCTTTCCAACAAATGGAGGGACTTGCAGTTTATTCTATGTCAACTCCGAACGGCTGATGGTTTTTTAGGAAGAAATTCTCACTTCATGTCGGAAATGTACTGCGAAGGGTAACATTCGCTACCGTGGGCGACTTCAATTTTTTTTTTAAATAAATTTTCTATAATAATTGATGTTGATCGGCACAGTATTCGAAAGCATCACCTACCATATGGCAGTACTCCCTGCTAACCACACAGCTATTGTGACTGTCGATGTACTTGCGGACCTGCATACATACATACATGCGAGTATGTACTCGTATATATATTCTATTGCACTGGACTATGGAAAAAGTTGTAAAGATTCCAATAAGGACATTATTCCCATACTTTTAATTTCTTTTGGGCTTTCGAAATAATCTGCATACACAAAGAATAATTGTCTGTAATGTAACTTTATAATAATTTGCAGTTATTACTTATCATTTTATTTTTAATATATGTGTGTATTATTATGTCAATTACTTAGTTCTTACGCAAAGTTTTGCATTAAATATTTACAAATTATTCTTTAGATGCATAACCTATGAATGTATGTGTGTATGTATGTATGTATGTATATATGTATATATTCTACTTTCTAATTTACATATATATATATATATCTGTACATATTCCTATTCGAAGATCTTTTTTTTTAATCAGTAATGATCATATTCTTGTGTTTAGGTAAAAACGCTTTTTTTTTTACATACATACATAAGTGTAAGGTTATAATTGTTCAAATTTTTTTTTTTGGTGTCTGAGCTGCAACTCCGATGAGGCGTTTAATTATATTTTTTTTTTTATGCTACGAGATTACTGAATTCTGCGCATGCTCTATATATTTTTTTTTTATACATATGTGTATGCACATACATATTATATATATGAGGTTTTTTTTTTTTTACAACTGCGTTTGAGTTAAGTCAAAAACTGTAATTATTCCCTGAACGTTCTACATTTATTCTATTAGTTTCACATACAAAACAGATTTTTTTTTATACATACATATATTATAAAAAGTATATATTTTTGAATAGTTTTTTTTTTACGAAACCAACATATAGCATACATATGTATAATTACATTTTTTTTTTTAATGCGACAAACGGATTGTCAATGGCGAATAATATTCATTTGGCGCTGTTAATCAAATTTATAGAAATACTCGCAGTTCATATTTTCTCTTTTTTTTTTTGGATTTTTTTTTTGGTTTTCCTATTTTTACAAATATTTTTTTTTTTTGGCCATACATATGTATGTATGTATGTACATGATATGGAGCTTTTTTTTTTTTCATAAAAAAAGAATTGGCAATTTAGGAAGCCGCAGATTTTTTTTTTTATTGCCATAAAAAATAAATTAATTAAAAAACAATAAATAAAAAATTTATATACCTACATATATCGATTATTATTTACCATTCTAGTTTGACTCTGACCTTTCTTTTGATTTAAAACAATCGAGCTCTTTATTAGCTTTTTTTTTTTCGCCAGTGAGAATAATAATCTAAACTAACAGATAAATAGATTTTTTTTTATGATTACACTGAGGTTTTTTATTGGGTTACGTCAACGTGTTTTTTTTTTTTTTTTAAATAAAAAAATAATTAAAAAAAAATACATATATTTTTTTTTAGTTCTCAGTATAACTGATTCAAATCTGACTTTCTTTATTTAGAAATATATATACATATATATTCTTTTATTTTGGTTAAAATCATAGCATAATTATTATTATTTATTCCTAAATTTGAGCCATAATAATCTTAAATTTTTTTTTTTATTTAGTTTTGATTTTACTTGATCCATTTTTCCTTCAAAATTTTTTTTTAAAAATTAAATAAAAGTGATTTGTACACGAAACGACACATTTTTTTTTTCATGTTTTCTTTACCGTTTTTTGTTTAATTTTTCTTTATTTTTATTTTTTAAATTTTTATGCAGTTTAGATGGTACATGTCAAATAAATTTTTTTTTTATTGTTAGTGTAGCAAAACTTGTCTGTTTCAGTGACAAAATTTTTTTTTTGAATCAAATATGATTTTCATGTATTTCAAACCGTTGATTTTTTTTTTTCTGAAGTGTACTTAAACCATAAAAATTTTACTTTTTTTCTTTTTTTTTTCCTCCCGTTCACTAAATGTTGCTCATACGACAAGGCGCACTTTTTTATTTTTACATTAAGAATTTTTAGTTTTAATCAAATTTATTACCTTTTTTTTTAGCTAGTAAATAAATGTGTGAATTGTTGTATTTTATAATATTTTTTTTTCTTGAATCAAAAAAATGCTTTATTGATTAGTTTATACTCGTAGATAAAAACAAATTAAGCATTAATAAAATTAATTCATTATTTTGGTTTTTTTTTTTGTTGTTTTTATTGTTGTAGCCGCAAAAATATTCCCCAAAGTTTTTTTTTGGAAATGGAGGTAGAAGTGAGAGTACTTTGCTGGATAAATTTTTTTTTTGTTTCGGTATCAAGACCAGACTGTCGGGTGGAGCTTCAAGTTTTTTTTTCCGGTAAAACATGCCTGTCGTCAGAGGCGATGAAAAAAAATTTTTTTTTGTTGATGCGACAGTCAGATCTTAAATACAGGCTGCAATTATTTTTTTTTTATTGTCTCGTACTTAATTTATATTGGTTTGACGGCGGTCTTTTTTTTTGTGCACTTTTCGTCTAATCTTGAAATTTCCCTTAGCCCAAGAACTCATAATTAGCAAGAAAAATATTAAGAAAAGTGGAAAATTGCAGCTTTTTTTTTACTAAACTGATTAAAATTTGTCTCTTGAGTTACACCGTACATACCTATTTGAGTAACGAATGAAAAGACATTTTGTACCATACCATTTCTTTTTTTTTTATAAATTAATAAATATGAAAATATTTACAAATAACACAATTTTTTTTTTATTTATTTTCTTTCACTCAGTATGCGCAAAGATGAACCATTTTTTTTTTAAGCACACATGTTTATATG